ATATATATCATTACTTACGTGGGTGTAAACTCACATAACGGCTGCGGAATTCTAAACCTTCAACCGGCAATACCACCATGCATGGCCGCGCACGTAGACTATGTACAGGGGAAGAAGATACACCCGACAGTGTCTACAAACGCTGCCCCTGGTTGCATAATCGGGTTTTCCTTGCTTGCGCGCTGAAATGCTGACCACGTCACTTAACATTGACCTGTAGTGACCCTTGCGGCTGAACCCTAACGAGTAGTGACCCAGAGCGCTAGTGATCCGAAACATTGACCTGTATTGACTTTGGCCGGCACTGACCAGCGTTACCGAACCTTGAACCGGTAGCGGACATTGACTTTCAATGATCTTGACCGTCAGTGACCGACGTCTGCGCGCATGCGTTCTTCTAGGCTGGACGACAAGCTGGTGGCAAAGGTCGCCGACTTCGGCCTGTCACGTGACGTTTACGAGGAGAATCTCTATACGTGCAAGGACCACAAAGCGAAGCTGCCGATTAAGTGGATGCCGATAGAGAGTCTAGAGAAGGGAACCTACAGCCTCAAGTCAGACGTGGTAAGCCTAGGAAGACCCTCCCTCCCTTCACCTTCTCCCTAGTCGATGTAGTCTTCTGTCTGACTCTGATAACCACGCATCCTACCCCTTAACCTTGGATGCCAAGCCTTCGAAGCTTTCCTCTCCCACTTCTGTCTAGTCGAGTTAGCCTCCTGTTTAATTCGGATAACCACGCCCCGAACCGTTAACGTCGTTACGAGGTTGCTCGAGATAGACCGAGTAGCTCGTACGTGATAGCATACATTCTGTCCAGTCGACCTAGCCATCTGCCTGATCAATATCACAACGTACCCACGCCCCCAGCCTTGGATGTCGTTGCGAGGTCGGTAGAGATGGATCGAGTAGCTCGTACGTGCTTTCTCACGTGTGCATGTCAAAATGTCGATACTTGGAAAAATCGTTAGGATTAGTATAGATCTTAGTGTTAGAATGATGGCTTATTAAGCTGTAAGCTGTCAGGTGTAAGCGGGATCCAGCTGATCATTCTAGTGCGTTAGACGACAATATCTCGCCTTCCTATAATGAATAGGTAATTCTATTCCTAAATTCAAAGAACAATTAGTACAATAGCGTTTCGACTGTTGCTCACGAATATCTGCTTGAATTTCGCGTTTTTTTCTTTCACTCGCGTTCAGGTGCTGATTCTTGCACGACCATGACGTCACCCTGAAGCCTCCCCCCCACCCACGCACACACACACACACACCGCCAGTGCTTGTCTACCCTCCCCCTCCCGCGCCCACCTTCGCGTGACCTTGGTTCTCTTGCAGTGGTCGTACGGTGTCGTCATGTGGGAGCTGATGACGCGTGGAGTCACGCCCTACCCGGACGTGGACAGCTGGGACATCGTGACGTATCTCCGCATCGGCAGACGCCTCCCGAAGCCGACCTACTGCCCCGACGATCTGTAATAATAATAATAATAATAATAATAATAATAATAATAGCAATAAATTCTGGATTGAATCTCTATGTCCCAGGTTGGAACACGGCCAACTCAGAAACCACCGGTCAATGCCGTGATGCACTTTTATAATAATAATAATAATAATAATAATAATAATAATAATAATAATAATAATAACGCTAGTAATACTAATAAACGAAACAGAAGTGTGTGACAGTAGTATCTGATAGTGGAAGCTGTGAGCAGAGCGTACTGAGAGGCTGGTTGATGTGGGGGTAATATACGATTAACCGTCAGTTCAATTATTAGTTTATCCACAATTAAACCTCAAGATAGCTGCTATACGATCTATAACTGCTGCTCTCTCGTCCACAGCTATGCGATCATGCTGCAGTGCTGGTGGCTGTGTCTCTGTCAATTACCTTCCGTGAATTACCATCTACAATTTACCCTTTACCAACGACCTTCCTCAAGATAACTTAATAGACTATCGATAAAATAATCATAAGATCTATAACTGCCGCTCTCTCATCCACAGCTATGCGATCATGCTGCAGTGCTGGTGTCTGAGTGCCATAGACCGGCCGACGTTCGCACAGCTGTCCGAGTCACTCGCCGACCTTCTCGCACGCTTCCAGAGGTTAGACTCGGCGTCACAACCCCTGACCCTTGACGTCACGTACGAGAACGTTCCGTCGGGTCATGCAGCGGCCGCCGGCGCTGCTGCTGTTGCCGATCCAGAGTACGTAGCTATCATACGGCTGTTCAGACGCGCGCACACACATACGCACGCACGTACGCACGCACACTCAAATTCTTTCTATCTCTATCACACGCACACGTACACGCACACACACACACACGCGCGCACGCACGCACGCACGCACGCACGCACGCACCACACACACACACACACACACGCACGCGCGCACACACACACACACGCACGCACGCACGCTCACACACACACACACACACGCGCGCGCGCACACACACACATACACGCACGCACGCACGCTCACACACACACACACGCACGCGCGCGCGCACACACACACATACACGCACGCACGCACGCTCACAC